CAAAAACATTATACCCTGATTTCCCATTTTCAATGGGTTCAGGGTATAAAAAATATTTAAACCTATAGATGTAAAATTTTCGCTTCATAACTTTAAATTGACAATATTTTTGTTAAGAAAACAATTTTATTAATAAATTGTATATCTATAGCTAAATGGACATAGAAGTTATTAATATTAAATCATTTAAACAAGAATTCAGCTTCGGCAGAAATAGCAAAGTTGTATTTATTTTTTGATTTATAATTAAATTCCTTGCAGCTTGACTGGTTTCAGATTCAGCTAAATAAATCAATCATTTCTATCTTAAGCTTGTAAGTAGCCCACGCTAAGCTTCTTCAATGTACTTTAACCCGTGAAGAAAGTAAGTGTGTCATCGCTTGAAGCGCCTCTAAATGACACAATTTCAAGTGCCATAAGTTTAAATCTGACCCGATCAACGAAAGTTCGTATTTAGTATCTTATACTAAGAGTTCTTTATGGTAGTCATGGTTTAAGTTTTGTTGTATATGGCTAAGCATCTGTGACCTGACAATTTCCTCAGTTTCCTCTAGTCTGCTGGCTATATAATGGCAGCCAGCTTAGTAGAAAAGAGTCTATTAGCTATAAGAGATGATCGTTTTGACGAATGTCCGTCCCCCTGTCCGGCATGCTGTTCGTGTGGCTGCATGCATAACCGAAGCTCCATTAAGATTTCAAACATGCTCGTGCATTTTTTAAATTAATTAAGTAATATTAGCCACTAACTAGGGCCGTAACAATTGACAAAATAATCAAATATCAACAGCATTTTAGAGCTAGAAATTACAGTTATTAAATTATCTTTTAAAGGAAGTAAAATACCTAATCAATAAATAGAGAAAATATACAATTTATAAGATTTCATAAAGATTTTATAAAAATAATATAATAGTAAACATAATTAAATATTAAGCAAGTAGTATAACAGTTCCATAAACTGTTCTATAGACTGTTCTATATACACACAAAAATTCATGTCTGTTAACTGAACTCTTTTGACCGTTAAATACATTGAGATTGTGTTCCACTTGGCTTTGATCGTCCTCGTTCGTTCTTCAAGTGAAACTTTCCAGTTTCTTAGCTAAAAGTTGTCAACATCGATGTATCACGTAATCTGTGGCATTTATTACATTCACATTCACTGGCCAAAATAGGCAACTGCACTCTGCCTGGTCACAGACTCGGACTCGGACTTGGACTTGAAGTTGGAGTTGAACTGGGAGTGGGTCTTGGTCGCATTTCGTTTAGACTAGACGGCCAGACAGGTTGAACGACTCGCGAGGAGCCTAGTTTGTACAATATTTTGTTTTCAATTGCAATTGATGTCACAGCCTCGACCGCCTGCGGCCGGCATCTGCAACAGGTGGTTATTTATACTCGTGCAGGAAGTGAGTCGAGTATATTGGCTTTGATTAGTGATTGTCCAGGCAAGAGACATTTAATTTTAAAAATGTAAGCTGAAATTTAATGTATGTGTATATTATATACATATATGTTCCTATGTGACAATATTACTAAAAGGGGTTCAAAAGCCAATCCCAATTTGCTCATGAGGAATCGAAAGAAACAGGTTTATGACCTACTATACAGATATACCTATAAATACCGTGATCAGCCGAATGGAACAAAGCAAATTAAAAAACATCTCATTTTGCATAAATATAGCTTAAATTTACAACAGTGACGCGTATCACGCAGTCAGTTACGCCCGCATGTAATATTCTCCCTCGAATGTGGGTCAGATTGGAAAACAAGTTGAAACGCCTATAAATTGTAAATTTCTTCAACCCATATCCTTGTGGTGGTTGCACAAGTTTGCTTCGTCGCTCCTCCGAGCAGTGGCCTAATAATCGGTCTGAAGAGTTCCGCCCGGGCTAATTGTCACAGCTGCCGATTTCTCACACTTTCACCCAAAATGTTTGCGCGAACTTTAAACTTTTTTTGTTTTCGCATAAATTAGACGGATTGTGAAGATTATCGCACAAGGTCTTAATTGGCTGTCAAAGCAGAAGACATTGAGGTAGAGGCCGCCTTGCTGAACTTACGGCGCATAGAGACGGTGCTGTATATAGGGACTGGGGCAGAAGTTTTTGTCGCGCAGAAAACAGCGCAACACGTTCACATCCAGCGCTCCACTGTTTAGCAGATTTTTCCAATCCATTTGGTTCAGCAGCAGCGTTTGAGCATCTGCAAAAGTTGTTAGATCGTGAGCGAAACCTTTTTAGTCTCATTAAATTGCTGTTGTTGATTTTCGTTTACTTTACTTATTATTATTGTTATTATTTTTGCTGTTTGTTGTTGGTTTTGTACCTTTGGATATCAGCATTAAGAGGCAGATCGCAATTAAACATTTCATTGCAGTTGCACTTTTAATTGCCAGCTAAATATAGATGTGTGTGTAGGTGTTTGCTGTCTCTTTCTCTCTCCCTCCCTTGGTTATGTTTTTATACTCTTTTAGCAAACTTATTATTCGCGGTAAATTTTGTTCACATTAATTAGTGTTTTACATGCAATTGCAATTTTGTTTTGATTAATTGTTGAATTTTTACGTTTTATAAAAAACTCATTATGTTTTTGTTTACTTTAATTTTATAATTTACTACTAATACTAATTTAAATATTAATAACAAATTAAATTCACTGCTTCCAAATTTTTTGTTGATTTTTTTAAATTAATTTTTATTTGATTATAGAATTAAAATAATTATGTTTGTTATAATTATTTTTAAAGTAATTATTAGTTTTAGATTTTTTACTATTTATATATTTTTTAAAGCATTTTATTATGTATTTCATTTACAAATATTTTTAATTACTTTTTCTCATAATAATTAATTTAATAATATTTTTGTCAAGTTATTTAAATATTATTTATAAATATTGATGTTCTTTATAGTTTAGTATATATACAAAAAAATACAATTCTTCCTTCACAGTCGAATATTTGTCACTGTTAAATATTTGAGTTTTATTTATTTTTATTTATTTAAAACTTATTTATTGTTTAATTTAATTTTAATTAATTTAAATATTTAATTTTGTTTAAATTTTGTTCATATGGGCGTTAATTTCTTTGGATATTTTTTTTATAATCATACGTATTTGTATATATGTATTTTTGTTTTGTTTTAATAATTTAAATTTTCAGCTTTACAAAGATAATATAATCCTTTCTCTTCATAAATGTGACAAGTTTTGAACACGCTTTCGAATTTTTTGCTCCAACGGAAACTCGATATATAATCTATGTAATTTATTGCTTATTTTCGATTTCTGTTGTTCACATAACTCAAATAGTTAACACACAAAATTGTCCAATTGGAGTTTAAATCTGTTGGCTAATTGAACCGCGAATGCTTTTCACGTCTTGCCCATTCGTGCGATGCGCTTCGAATGCGAAGAGATAAAAAGGCCGCGCAAATGCAGTCGCTGCCAAAGAATTTCGCTGTCGCCGTCGCCGTCGAGTCGCTGCCTTGACTTTGGCCAGCCTTAGGCAGCCTCGAATGCTTTTCGCCGACTCTTTCTTTGCAAACTCACACGCAACGCTGCACTGATTTTGTATATTGTATTTCATGGAGCGGATATTACAGCCAAAGTCGTTTGCTTTGCTAACGATCTGCCATCGCCTTGGCCATATGTGTTGTTATCTTAGCTGCATCTATGTGTGTATTTAGAGACAAACCAAGTGTTTAAACAGAATAATAAGTGCAGATGAAAGTGTATCAAATGCGACTGCAAGTTGTGAATGAAATCGATTCGTGCTTAGAATTTCCGTTTTAGCTATTGTATACTATAGTTTCATATGAATCGAAATAATTGATTTGCCGCAATATGCCATGGATGTATAATGAATGATATAGTAATATAATACATATATAGATAAAAGATTTTTGCTGCAATTAGACTCGAACCAAAGTATATTCCAATATAAAGATATCAAGCCCATATAAAACAAATATTTTAGCCAATCTTTTACAAAATATTAATGAATACTTATCATGTACTAAATATTTTATAAAAAATAAAATATTTAAGCTTTTAATTATGAGCAGACACCTATCAAATGTGTACTGCCTTTACTGCCTTAATGAATATCACTTAAAATACATTAATATCTTATAAATTATAATCAAATGTTTTGGTTTATATGAGCTCTTAATGATTTCATATTATATATAAAATACCATTAAAAAGTTATTATATACTCAATTACAAACACATCTAAAATGAAGTTTAATAGGGTCTCAAGGGGTTAAAAGGAGGGTCTCAAAAAATTGGAATCTCTTATTTAATCCTATATCACAAAATTTTCCTTACTTAATTCATGATTAAAATTCTGTTAAATTTCACATCTACATTTACAGTGTATCTAGCATTCCAGCAGTTTGTTTTTCGGGCTTGCTTTGATTTTGCTTTTAGCTTTGCGTTTTGGCTTTTGGTTTTGTTTTCGCTTTTCGCGTTTTTCGCGTTTTTCGCAGTCAACGTCACTTGGCCCGCCGTGTGTTATCATCCGCGGTTTTCGGCGCTGTAATTTGTTTTTCTCCCGTGCTTTAGTTTTTCATTTAGCCCAAGCACGATATTATGTAAATTTCAAATTGTTATAGATACTACATATATTTTAATGCGTACACTCACTTTGCGGTCGATTTTGTTTGTCTTATTTATAATTAATTATTATGAAAGATTGAAACGAAAGTGTTGGACATTAAACGTAGAAGAGGCGTTCAAGTTTGTTGCCTAAGTCTTTCGGTTTGTTTTCGTTTCTCTGATAGGATAATTTCATATGATTTCAGGCAAATGTCTGCACTTCATGTCACTCCAAAATATTATCTAATAAATCTTTTTCTCCAGAGCCAATTTCATGCTGTGCACCGCATAAATGTTTTTCCAACTTTTCCAACATGTTTCACTTTTCCATTAGCCTCTTTGTAGGCAAGAGACGCAAAGTGGTTTTGTGACAAAATATCTGAAGCCCCCCCAACAAGGGCACATGAAAAGTGAAAGATTGCTTGAAGATTAAATGTGGTTCAAGTTATGTATGAGGTAAAAGTTGGACGACCGAAACTAGACGCAGCTTGGAACAATGCATACTTTAGGGGCATGGAAAAGGCTTGCAAGCAGGTTGCCGAAGGCATTTTCCTTGAATTTTCTATAGTTTAAAATAAATGGACAAGTGGACAGAAAAATTGGAAAGTGCTTTGGGAAAGGCGTAAAATAAGTAAATATGATTAATGTAAATAAATGTGCATAATATAAATAAAAATATATAAAAAGATATATGTATATCTGAAAGAGAAATAAATATGCGTAATATAAAAAAATACAAATAACTGATTAAAGTAATCTTAATATATATATATATCATAAATCTTTATAAAGATATACATAGATCTATCAACCATACAAGGCTTATTTCTATATTAGGCGTCTTACCTAGATGAAGACAATTTTTTAGGTATATTTTCAGCATCTTTGACCGTTAAAAAAGTTTTGAAACTTATAAATAAAATAATATGTTTCTTTATTTTATAATTTAATAATCTCATTGTACAAAATAAATAAAAGTAAACGGTTTAATCCCTAACCTTTAAATCTACCAATTAAAATCATTTAATAAACTAATTAATTAGGATTAAGTAAATACCAAATTTCTTTATATATGTTAAATACATATATCTTAATAAATTATCGTTTTATCTCACCTGGTATATAGCCGATATCCAATGTAGGCCATTGGGCACGTGCTCCACGACAATAAATGGCAATTAAACGGATTTAAGTCGAAATTTCCATTGCGCAACAGAAATTGCAATGCCTCCAAGCCGAATTTGGCTATTGAACCAAAAAAAGAAAACACGATTCACATATAGATCTTATCACACACGCACATAGAGCGAGAAATAAGAGAGAGAGAAAGAGAGAGAGAGAGAGAGAAGGAGATAGAGAAGAGATTTAGCTTTATCTAAAACCTTTTGCCGGTTGAATGGGGGAAAGTAAACACCAGAGCGGCAATAGCACTATGAAAACGCTGGACATATTGGCGAGAGTGCTAGGAATTCGCATATTTATCACGTACGGCCACTAAGCACTAGGCACTAAGCGCGATCGGAGGAGCCAGAGAGCAGCACCGAGCCACATGGAACGCGTCTGGTAAATTGAATGAGCTCGTTGTCACTGTGCAGCAGCCAGATAAATGCTAAAAAATATTTCCATACCAACAAAACCAACAACAAATACAAGAAAAACAACAACGTTTCAACTAAGACCCACAGCCCGGCCCCGGTTGACATTGCGGCAAGTGTTTTAGCTAAACTTTGGTCTTAGTCTTTGGCTTTGCTTCAGTTTGCCGCACGTTGATTGCGTGTCGGTGAAACCCCATTTCCATATGGCTGCCCAGGCTGCGATGTATTGTGAAATACCCAAAGATAGCCAAAAATGTTTTCGAATAGCTATAGACAGATATTTCATATTGCAAAATATCCATACAGGCTTGCATGGACCACCTGTTGGCTAGATAAAGAGCTGAATTCACAATTACACCTCCTTCTTAAAAGTCAAGTTGAGAAATATCTAATAAATGTCAACAAATCTAGACAGTTGCTGAATTGCCAATTAAAAATGCTCACATCGTATTTTATACAAGACGTCAGAATGCCTAAAGTTACTATCTAGTTAAATGTATTGTGTTGTCAAATTTGGCAATTGTATGTCAAGTTGAATACATAAAAATAAATATAAAGATTTCTATCTTTATGAAAACAATTATATGTGAATTGAACAAAAGGACAAACTTGAGTTTTCAAAAAAAGCGCGCGCACATTTCTTGTACTCATTACGAGCTGTTAATCCGCTGTTAACACGATTTTTCAGCAAATAAGTGTAACGCTACTCTTAATTTGTAGTTTCCCGAAAATATCCCAGGAAACTTTGTTCTAAGTAAATAAATCAGAAGAGAGACTTCAAAAATCGTGGTAATATAGCATTATTCCAGTAATCAGTCTAACAGTCTTATGCTAACGCATATTTTGCCGCATGTTAACGCGCGATCCAACTCAAATAGAAATGTAAACGCATTGCGAATGTTAACGCTAACAGACCATATTTGCTTGCTTTCCAACACCCAAACTATACACATGCACATACACAAACACAGGCGTACAGTCGCAACATCTTAAAAAAATTGAATGTTATATTTTGCAGCGTAAAAATTAAGTTGACTAGTTTGCAAACAACTAATTTAGAGTTAGTTTGTAATGAAACGCACCGCGGCATCCAAATCAATGTCGTAGAACCGCAATTAGCAAGTGTAACAAGACAAATCACAACATGATTGCATCCGAATCAGAGGCCATAAATTCGGCCACTTATGTGGATAATTATCTCGATTCCGTGGAGAATCTGCCCGACGATGTGCAGCGCCAGCTCTCTCGCATACGGGACATTGATGTCCAATACCGAGGTAAGCCGAAAAATAACCAAGTAAAAATTTCACTTAACCTCTCGGATTTCTGCCTCTATGAAGGATTAATACGGGACGTGGATCACTACTATGACCTCTACGTGCTACACCAGAACTCGCCCGACACCAATCGCCGCTGCCGCTCGATAGCGCGTATGCACCAGAGCCTGATACAGGCCCAGGAGCTGGGCGATGAGAAAATGCAGATTGTGAATCTGCTGCAGGAGATAATAGATGGTAAGGTTAGGCAATTGGACACAGATCAGCAGAATCTCGACCTGAAGGAGGAGCGTGAGCGTTACGCGCAGCTGGACGATGGGCCGCCATCGAAGCTGCAACGGCTCCAGAGTCCTATGTGTGATCAAGGCAACAGTGCGGGCAATAATGTGTTAAATAGCAGCGGATTGGGCGGCAATGCGGCCAACGTATCCAAGGATCATTATGGTTCACTGCCCTTTATTGGCGTGCCGGGCTCCGGTGGTAGCGGCATCAGTGGCAATGGCGGCAGCTCGACGCCCACCTATGATCGTTCCAATCATCTAAGCAGTGGTGGCAACGGCTACAATGGCTCCTATTGTGGCAGCAACAGTGACCTGCAGCGTTCGGGCAGCAAACGCTCGAGGCGACGCAACGAGAGCCTGCCCAATAACGGCAGCTCCACTGAGATGGGCGGCAATGAATCCAATTCGGCCAACGAGGCGGGCAGCAGTGGGAACGGGAATAGTGAACGTAAGTCTTCGATGGCCAGCGGCAGTGGCCTGGGGCAGCGCAAGAGTCAAGTTCAATTGGCGGGCGCCAGCGTAGCCAGTGGAGCAGGCGGTGGCGGTGGCAATGGCGGCGGCAGCAATTCCGGCAAGAAGAAGAAACGCAAAGTGCGCGGCGCGGGCGCTAATAATACGGCGGCAAATACTCGCGAAGAAACGCCACCGCCGGAGCCCATCGATCCGGATGAGCCCACGTATTGCGTGTGCAACCAGGTGAGATTAGAGCGAAAGAAAAAATGTATAAAAATATATATTAAATAATGTATCCTTCCTCTCAGATTTCGTTTGGCGAAATGATACTCTGTGACAACGATTTGTGTCCCATCGAGTGGTTCCACTTCTCGTGCGTTTCACTTGTGCTCAAGCCGAAGGGCAAATGGTTCTGTCCGAACTGCCGCGGCGAGCGACCCAACGTCATGAAGCCGAAGGCGCAATTTCTGAAGGAGCTAGAGCGCTACAACAAGGAAAAAGAGGAGAAAACTTAAACAATGTTTTGTGGAAACAGTTTTTTGTGTTAAACACTCTTAGCCATTACGATTAGACCAGGGCTCAGCACTATGTAAATTATTCGCTTCTTACAACTCTAGTTAATATGTAAACACACACACACTCACACCCACAAACCAACAGAAACACACATACTCACACACACACACACACACACACACACTAACTCCATTCGAAAATTTAACTTTGTATTATTACTTTCACAATGTAGGCCACATTTTGCTTTCCGTGGTTTAAAAGGTTCGTCAATATCTGTATAAACGTTCAAGCTAAATTTATAAATAAATATATGATGTATAAAATAAAATAAACATTCGATATTTTATACGGTTCAAAGCCAAAGCTCAGCTGGCATTTTGGATCGAATTTGTAGAATTCTAGATTCCATAATTTATATAGAATTTTAAGATTTGTAAAGTTGATAAGCAGAAAGAAAACAAACAAATTTACCTTTGTATAAATGTAAATGTATAATATTCTCTGTGTTGTGTATAGACATACATATGTGTAAATTGAATATGTATTTATGTATATGTATATAAGACACTTTCGGTAAATGGAATACAACGTTATTGATATGTAGACTATGGACGGAATGTTTGTGTAGTCATTGGTACTTATAAATAAAACTTAAAATGAAGATTTATTTAACTTTTTGCGTATTCGATTGGCAATTCGAATGCAAAGTCGTTCTTAAGGCATCAAGAGTTCGATATTAGGGTTCTGTATTTCCAGAAAGATTTGGTATTGCGAGAAAACAACGAGCCAGCAATATATCTAAATGAAAGGAAAGTTTAAATTTGCATTTAAATACTGCATTGGAATTGTTTATTTGACTCACATTATAGGCAACCCAAACGAAGTTTATCAGCGCTGAGAAGGTTTGCTCCAGCTATAAATTAAATTGTTATTTAGTAGCAATGCAATTATTATTTATAGTATATACTCACGTATATGTAGTAGCCGCCAATTAACCAAAGGCTCCAGCAGAATTGAAACAGAATCGCAAGTCCAATTAAAAATAGCCAGGGCAAGAGCCAGCCACGCGTGCTATAAAATAGATTAATTAATCAAGTCAACAACATTTTCCCCACACACTCACCTTATCTTAATGCCATAATACACAAGAAAGGATGATATTATAATCAGCAGAAAGTATATTATAAAGAAGCCTCCAGCGATGGGCATAGATGTCCTTATATCCGTTTCAAATAGGGGCGAATAAAGCTGTCCAGATTCTCCGCCAGCGAGCATGTAGCTGATGAGCGTGATGAAAACAACGCTTAGAGCTGCCGTGTAGGCGGCAACTGCATAGCTGCCTGTGCGCACGTTATTTGACCAAATGATTGGCGACCAGCAGGAGCTTAAGACAACCATTTTTCATAAATAAAATAGCTATTTACCAAATGTAAAATAACTTTATAAAATGACAACAACGCCTTGTCAACGCCCTGACAATGTGACCGTAATCAACTAAAATTAAAGATGCTAATAAACTATCGATTAATAAAAATTTTGAAAGATCCCGTAATTAACTAAATTTATGTAACACATCAATTTATATGTATTAATTAAAATGTAAATAAATTCAAAATTTCATTTATTGTTTGTATTGCTAAAATTTTTCAAGAAAGGTGGAATATTCTATCATGTAAAACTATCGATAAGTAATAGGAGAGGAATCCGACCAT